CGGAAAGCGAAGCTGCCCGCACTGCCCGCGGCAAGCGGCTGGGCCAGCCCCAGCACGCAATCAGCACAGGGACCTGCGGCTCTGCCCTCACACCCAGCGTGTCCCACAGGAGGCTAGAGGCTGTGGAGCATTTTACAAAGTGCAAGTTGCTGCCCAACTACTTCTGTATAGGGCTTCTTCCACCTCCACCCCCCAATACCTCCCCCAGGCTCCCAGCTCCATTCAGGGTCTGCAGCCCTGCTTCTGCCTCCACACTAAGGTCACACAAGGCAATCTGAGACAGGGCTTTACTCAAACCCTCCTCCCACTTTATTTCAAACATCATAAAATATACACAGACAAAAAGGGACAAACAAGAGGGCAAAAGACATTGGGTGGGGAGGAGAAACCTTCCCCTAAACACCGTATCAGCTCAGACGGTGACGGGAAGCAGCCACCATAGACCATCTCTTCTGTCCAGGTGGACAGGCAAGCCTGCAATAAGTAAGGTTGGTGGAGTGAGCTCCCGCACGGAGGGGAAAGGCAGGGCAGCCCCACACAGCCCTTCGAGCCACGGAAAAGGCCCAGGGTGAGGCAGCATTAAGAGCTGTCGCTGCCCTGTGCCCTCGTCATTACCTATCACGGTGCTCCTGTGGATTTCTGGATTTGCTCCTTTAGAATCAGGATACTTTGCCGTTGCTCCGGGGGCAGCATGGCGATCTGGTCTGCGGTCAGCTGCAGCACCTGCATAATCAGGGCTGCCTGTGGGGAAAGGAGAGGATCCGAGATGTTGTCTGCCAGAACCTCCCGTGTCATCGGAGCCAGCAAGGGCACTGCTGGTGGGATCAGCTCTCCTGCGCAGCAGCACCCAAGTGTGGCCCAATTTCTGAGCAGACTGGGGTGAAACAGCCACCTGCTCCAAAGGCAGCAGGATCTGTACCCTAGGGCTGCAGGGCAGAAACTCCCCGAGGCAGCCTGTCCTCCGCCACAGCCAGGAGCGCAGCGACTCACTGCATGCCCTCCTCAAGCGTCTCAGTATTTCTCTTTCGTCCACTCACCTTCTCATGATCCTGTGGCGTGACCTGGCTCTGCCCAGGGCTGAAGCCCCCAGGCTGAGCAGCTCCTTGCTCCCCTGCCCCAGGAATAATGCCCGCCCCTGCCACGTTAGGACCCTGCGGGCACAGCAGAAAGCGTGAGAGGGTCTCCGGCCTCGGCGGCACAAACACCCTCTGCTCATCTCCCATCTGCAGCAGCACCAGTGCCAGCTCAGCCAGCAGAGCGGCTGTGCCTACCTGGCGAGGCCCTTGCGGGCCACTGCCTCCCATACTAAGCGGTCCAGGACCCTGAATGCCACCAGGCATTGGGCCACGCGGGTTAGGACCAGGCCCGCGGGGCTCCAGGCCGCGGGGCTCCATGACCCTGGCCTCCATGGCCCTCGCTTCCAGCATGCGTGGCTCCAGCACGCGTGGCTCCAGGCCCCTGGGCTCCAGCCCCCGTGGATCTCTTCCAACTGCAGAGGAAAGACAAGGCAATCTGAGGAAGGGAGCAGTGCTGGAGCAGAGCTGCAGGAGCCTGCTACCTCCTTCCTCGGGGGCTAGCAAGCGCCAGGGATGCGCGGGGCTGCGTACGAAGACAGGCCCTGATGAAGCCTCGTGCCCTGCCAGACTGTCCCTCCTTGTCCTGAGGCCACTTTGCTGCCCAAACCCCTCTGCTGCACCTTGCGTCGGGGCAGTGGGCTCCACTCTCAGCCTCTTTGTTTGCTTCCAGCCACCCGCTCTTGCATGCCCCCGCTCTCACCTCGAGCGTCCATCAGGGGCCCCCGCGGCTCTCCCATCAGTGGTCGGGGTTCTCCCATGGGTCCCCCCCTCATCTCATGGGGGGGGCCACGGCTGTCGTGGCCTGGCATATGGTGCATAGGGGCTCCTTGGTGGGGCGGCCCAAGGTAGCCTCTGACGCAGAGAGACGAGGAGAGCAAAGCAGGAGGAGAAAAAGCGAGAGAGAGTGAGTCAGACGCTGGCTTGGCACGGTCTGGGCAGAGCGCTGGCATCGCCCCCAAATGGCCATGGGGAGCAGGGCGAGCCTATGCCACAGGGCTGCAGTTGCTACCCTGGAGATGTCCCATGCCCGGGAATGCAGGCTGATCCCTGGGGCTGGCAGCACACAGGCTGCCAAGGAGGCGGCAGTGACCCCCCAAAGGCTCGTGCTATCCCTGCCCTCAGCGGGAGGCCGCCCCGGGGCAGGGGGCAGTGCCGAGGGCTTCTCTCCTTCCCTCTCCCCTCACCTGGGCTCCACTTCTCCAGTGACTGAGAGCAGGGTCCCTCCACGAGGGTCATTCGGGGCATCTCCCAAAAGGCCGCGGGGTGGAGGGCCACTAGCGGGTAGAGGTCCACGCTGCATTGGGGCCCTCGGGTCTGGCATGGGCACTGCCAGGGAGACACACAAGAGCTCGTGAGGATGAGCACGGCCAGAGCGGCGCTGACACGGCCCCGCGGCGCGGCCTGGCTGTGCCGCCTGCCGGGCAAGGCGGCAGCCAAAGCCCCGGCCTGCTGCTGCTTCCAGCCCTTTCCCCCCGCTCTCTGCTTCTACCTGAGGCTCCTCACGACACCGGGTGGCCAAAGCGAGCATGGGTGCCCCCTGGCCGTCCCTCAGAGTAGGAGCTGCAACACCCTGACGATGGGGGCCAGGAGCAGAAGCAAAACCTGGAAGGCTCCTGTTGGGGACATCTCAAAGGGGGTTGGACCCTAGGCAAAGACTGGGGCAAAGACTCTCCTTTTCCACAGCTCTAGCCTGTTCTCTTTTCCCCCAAGAGGAAGCCCTGCCTCCTTCCAGCCCTGTCAGGCTACATAGTGACAGCCCTGGTCATGTGCACAACAGGGCACAAGCTGCTCTCTCTATGCGCTCCATGAGGGAAGGGAGCTGGAGCTGCAGGGATACCTTGGACGCGCTCGATAGACGCAGGCCTGGCAGGTCCCACGGGCGAGAGCTGCAGGTTCCCTGGGCAAGCAGCAGGAAGAGAGGGAGAAGAGCAGACACGTAAATAGTGTATGCACACACGCAGCCAGCTCTGGGAACAGCAACCAGCTCTGCTCCCTGGCTCCCCCGGGACACCTATCCAAAAAGACACCGCCTGCTGCCGGCCTGGCTTCATCGCTGTCTTCCCCTAGTGGCAGCTGTGGCAGTGTGAGTGTGACAACCATCCCAGCCAGGTCTGTGCTGCGGGGCAGGGCCCTGCCCTCGCTCCCTGTGGGCATGCGCAGGCCAGGACACCAAGGCTGGCACAGGACGTCCCACCAAAATAAGCAGGGACACACAGTGAGGCAAGGCAACCTCTGCCCGTGGCTCCCCATGACACTCCCAGCTCCAGGTTTCTGTCTGCTCTCTGCTTTTCTGCTGGGGGGTAGCAGCGAAAATGCCCAAAAGTGCAGGATTGCTCTCAGGGAAACAATTCCCCCCCAGAGAAAATGAGTCAGCTGCCCTTAGGAGATGTAAGGCTGAAGGACCTCGAAACAGGTTTGCCGGGTTCCCCACACAGGGCCTAAGACACCAGTCAAGTTGATGGAGCTATC